TAATAATTTGCTGCATCACATAGTTTGAAAATCACTACCCTAAACTCTCCCACTGGGTGACTTATTTCTATTTATGATAGATAGACATGGTTCAAAGAGTAATAAAACAATAAAATTAATTGAAAACAGATGCAAACTTTTAGGAGCCTGAGTCTTTTTGGGATAAATGATTATTACTTTCTGTTGCAATCCCCAGTCATTCTATAAAGAAAAAGGGTAACTTAAATTTTTTGTAATTGTTACAAAATCAGTCAAATGGACTGAGCCTGTATAGTGTTAAACGTAGAAAAAATATCTTATTTACTTTTATGAAAAAAAAAGCTTTTCACATTCAGTTAGAAGGTTCTAGATGTTATGTAAATAAAGCATGAGAACTGAAAGATAAAAAATAAGTATTTTTTATTCTTAAAATTAAAACAGTCAGGTTGACTAAAGTATATGCTGAGGCAAATTCTTAGTATAACTAATTTATTAAAAATTCTTAGTAAATATTAATTCTACAATATGGGATTGATAAAACAAACTGACCCTATGCACCTAGGGTTAATGGGAATCCAGTCAAACTGGACCTTTGTTATTGGTGGAGTACCTGAGGTCAGTGCTTGGGTCTTTGCTTTTTCTTATTTACATTAATAATACTGACTGAAGTATAATATGTAAATTAGCAAAGTTTGCTGATGACATTAAACTTGGAATATTTGTAGCCCTACTGAGAATTTTATTTCAAAATGACATGGATTAACTGGTTTGTTGAACAAATACGTGACAGTTATAGTAAGTGCACAATAATGCTTTTTGGGTTATAATGATTTAAATCACACATTTAATATAGATAGGAACTCATTCAATTGTGTGAATGAAAAAGATATTGGTACGGTGGTAGATAAGTCACTCAAGCTATCAAGGTAGTGCTCTTGTACTAATCTAGTGTTAAAAATTTTTGCCCTGAGGCTATGTGATGAAACAATTCTGTTTACTCAATCAATTTTCTGTAGCTTTATATATTGTAATACCTGTAGCAATAACTCTGAGAAATGTAAAATTCAGCTGCATTATATTTACTCATCCAAAATGTTCCATATTGACTGGTGATAGAAAAAGATGCAGCAAACAGTTCAAAATTTTGAAAAATTTTTAGATTTTAAAATAAAGCTAGATACCATGACACCTGAGTTAAAAAAAAATAAAAATAAAAAAAAAAAATGTTCAGACTGACTACTTTTCAATCCTGAATTTCTCTACCTTCATCAAACATAGTTTCATCTCATCTCTCAAAAACTGTCACATTCAGGGTTCTCTACTCCAGCACCATATTCTTTCTGCTTTAGTTTCTTGTCTTCATCAAGACATTTTCTGTATTTTAAGAAGTGACTCTACACTACTGAGACAATGCCATATCGCAGCCTGTGCTGAGAATGATTGCTTAGGCATTTAAAGAAAAAGGCCATAACTTAGTTTTGTCAGAGATACTCCCAGAATTAACTTTGAGGATGAAGTTATAAGTAGGTCACTAGGGCTAAATGCTATGCTTAGGTTAATATGTAAGGATGAGCAGAATGACTGCTTGAACTTGTGGGATCAGTTTAATGGGAGAAGGGAGCTTTTTTTTGAATGGATGGTTTACATACAAATAGGGTAAGGGCTAGTTTGTATGCAAGGGCTATTAACTCAGCTGTAAGGAGAGTAATATGTTTATTTTAATCAACTAAAATTCAGTTGTTTTAATATAGTAGTCTTATAAAAACTTGCAAGGAGAAGTTTGCAGAATGCTATTAATTGCATTTTCAGGTTGTGGACTCCTATGTGTGCATAATACATTTTCATGTACAAAGTAAAGGACTGAATAAAATAATTCTAACTGTATTTAAACAATTCTAAGTCAAAAATACCTTATACCTGGTATTTTGTAATTTTTTGACATTTATCTAGTGTAATTCATTAAGAAAAATAAGGTTCATATTTTCATTTATGCACAGCTGCAAACAAAATAACTCACTTTTCAATTTCTTTAAGAATATTTCTGCCCATCTCAAAATTATCTTTATTTTTGCAAAGAACCCATTATCCCTTCAGAATATATTATCCATTTTTTGATTTTCAACCATTATTTAGTTTTTGTACAGGTCTTGGTTGACACTTTGTTAACATTAAAGGATAACAAGGGACCTTTTGGTCCATCTAGGCCATCCTGTCCACAAAATTAAACACAAAAAAACTCAACCAGCCCTTATCATTCAAATATTTATCAAGGTTTCCCTTAAACTCTTTAAATTAACTGTGTCTACCATATCTGAAGGCAACCTGTTCCAAAACAAACCATCCTGTTTGAAAAATAAAGCTGTCTTACCTGAAGATTAATCCTATCCTGCCAAAATTTATATTGTTATGGCACCACACCAAGTAGTTTGATATTAATGAAACACAGCTATAAAGAAAGTTTAAATATGATTTTTGGGCAAAAATTAGATTATGACATATTAATAAATATATAGGTTTAAGAATTTTTTTTATAGTTTCTGTAACTGTTCCTTTCAGCTCCTTTTGTCATAATTATTAAAGCACTTGTCTGTTAA